AGTTCTTCTCGCAATAATTGATCGGGTGGTGAGGCCAACTATCCGGTTTAGTTATTCTTAGTTATTCAGAACACCACCATGGTTGTCGTTATGTGTCGGGTATAAGTGTTAGACCACATGCACCAGGCTTGCTTTTCGGTCATCAATTTTGTCGTTGCGATAGTGCTTCGAGGTAGTACTGCCACCTTCAAGTAATCCTAAGTGACGCCTCGAATTAACTCTTTTGTTGGTTCGTACTTAAGTAGTTCTGTACAGACACCATTGAATTTGCTTTTTCGTTGGCCGCCTTAACGTATTTGGAGATGGCATGGGACTTGGTCGACTACTTTTAGCTTTAGCAGCAATTTCATTATAATCGGACTCTTGGTTGTCGTTCCAACGAACAGAACAGGCGAAGAGCAGTCAGTACTCTTCGTTCAGGTAGTCAACGATCAGAATACCATGCTGACAACTCACCAAACGGTGAATCGAATTATTTCACTACCGTATGATACTAATCACTAGCAGAAACCACCACATACCACATTTTGTTGAGTGTGCTAGGTGATATACTATTTCAAAGAAAGCGAAAGTGAGGGACCCAACGGACTCATCAACACCGGATTTAAATGCGGTTTTCGCCCCCTGGTCGGATCAGGTACAAAGAATCATGACAACGTGTGTACCATAATTGGGGTACATTGAATATTTTCGGATTTCCTCTAGATAGCGATGATATCTTTATTAAAAGGATCATGTATCGAAATTACGATATTCTTATTCAAAGGAATTTCACCTTTTACCATGTCGTCAACTGAGGAACAGAAGCGGCAGGCGTCGCTGGACAAGCGCCGGCGCCGCAACCGGGAGGCGATGCAGCGGGCCCGGCAGCGGGATAAGGACCACATGGAGTCGCTGCGTCTCGAGGCCCAGCGCCTGGAAGACACGCACCGGAAGCTGCTGAGTCAAGTGGACCAATCATTATCACAAATTTTCGTCTCAGAATCTCGGAATGATCGCACTGCGGACCTCCAGAGACAGTTAGAGGACGCTCGAGAGCAAGCTAACAAGCTAATGACACAAAACAGGGCCTTCCAGGTGCAGCTGCGAGACAGAGTTAAGGGGGAAGACCGAATGGAAGGATTACTTAAGGAAATGGCCAGAGATCAGCAGATCCAGGAGCGCGTATACAAACAATTGTGTCAAGAAAACCCTGTCGATGTTGGGATCAAACCGAAATTTACACTGGAAAGAGCAACAAAAGTAATACTGACATCGAGACAACAGAGGGCATTGGTGGATAGAGTGGGGTTTGCAGATATACAACGTGTCTATTTGTTCGGATGGACGACGTTGCATCGCTTCCAGGACAATAATTTATATTATTCGTTCAAGAAAACCTTTAAGAACCGATCAGCAACGCAGATGGCGGATCGCAATTGGGAGAATGAGATCAAATTTGTGACGTACCGAAGTGCGTCGGAAGCTGCGACCCAACAGTTCCATGTGAGAATACTGTAGATCGAAAATTATTATTATTTTTTTTTTTTTTGGGGGGGGGGTTCTAATTTATTTGTCTATTGACAGGTTGTACAGAAATTTAATGATGAAACCTATTTAATCGCCCGAGAGAAGCAAGATCCTGATCATGAAGGCAAAGTTGTGCGTCTATTGTACCTACGTTTTCGTCTTCTGGAGGCGAATGGCAGCTACGCTGTCGTGACGCAGAGTGTTCCACAGGAAGCTTCGTTTAGTACTGGGACGTTGGGGAAGATATGGGCCAACGATGCGTGTATGTGGAACCATTTTATTCCAGTTATGGATGAGAAAGGCGAGGAGCATTGCGAGATTCATTTGACTGGGAGTTCGTCTGTTGGAGACCCACGGAGTGTGCGTACTAATGTGCTTGAAACTGTGATGGGGTTGTTACGCTGGGAAAACATTAATGTTGGCCCTACCCTGTCCCTGACTCAAGCATTCCAACCAGATCGGGAGGTATGAGCATTTCGTGCAACGGTACGGGGCCGATGGTTCGTAGATTCCGACCCAGTGAATGAGATAAAATTGAGATATTTCATATCTCAGTATTTTGAAATATCTGTGTAGAATGCTATGATTGTTTCTCTTTTTTCTTTACAATAGGAGGAAGTTTAATTTTATTTTGCACCTGCATTAATATTCTAACACACCAACAAACAACATCTTGACACAATGGAACACTGTTTCGTCGAAACCACTGCAGTATATGATAAACCCACGCCCATTGAAGCGCATTCTTTTAAAGAGCGCAATGTAATCCATGG